GTGACGTGGGAGTTGAATCCTGCTTCTTCCATTAACCCCCTATCACACAGGCAAATAAAGTAACTGGTTTTTGTATCTGAATTAAAAAATTAGGATATAAACGTATCCTTTGTAGGCTCTCTGAAAGCATCCTTGGTACAATCCTACCAGAGGAGAGAAGGATTGCCCATGTACTCCATCCTGTTCCCATGATTCCAGTCTCCTTTGCTCAGTCTCTAGACTATAAACACTCTTTAATCCATATAGCTTGAAAATCATGAGTATTTTGGGTGGTGTCATTGATTTAAAATACTGCTCTTAAGTAAAATCGTATGGATCAATGTTACTCCTGCAAATGCAGGCAACATTTCAATCTGTGATGATGGTCCAGCTCCAATACCCTTTATTGATTGAGTCCTGTGCTATATTTTGAGATCTGTATTTATAGTGTGATGGTTTGTCATCTGTCAGTCCATGAAGGATAATGAGCTTTTGATGTATCTTGCTAGGTTTTTTTTTTTGCCTAGGCAATGGATTAAGTGACTTGCCCAGGGTCACACAGCTAGTAAGTGTTATGTGTCTAAGGCCAGATTTGAACTCAGGTCCTCTTGAATCCAGGTCTGGTGCTCTATCCACTGCATCACCTAGCTGCCCCATTTGCTAGGCTTTTGATAGCTGCTAAATTTTTGTAGTCTATAGTGTTTTGTTGCACAAATTCTTCCATTTCCTAGCATAAGTAACATTGATCACTGAGTCTAGGTTTTTAAAGGATAATTCTTCCGTACTTTCAATGGACAGTGACCAGGTTCTGACTTGCCATCACAAATATTCCCTCTCTGTTTCCACAGACAAAGCTGCATGCTTCAGCCATTTGATGTTTCTCTGCCAACTTATTGGTCAAGTTTGTGCAGATGTTGCCCTTGGAGGGACTTTTGATCCCATTCATAGAACTTGACAATTTCATAAGCTCCATATAAAGGGAAACCACTTTTTGTTCATAGTCAACAAATCCAATGGTATAGACCTTTTATTGCTTTTAATGTTGCCTGGTGAAGTGATATCTATTTGTTCCAAAAATATTTTTACAGGTTTTTGACTTGCTTATCTCACAGTCTAAGAATGATTATGAATCCTCTTCCTCCTTTTTGGAGAGAAAGTGTTCCTCTTTCTATAACTGCTTTTTTATAGTCTTATGTTTCATTAATATTGCACTAGTTTTGGCAAGGATACTTTATAAACCTGTTAGGGTCTTTTGTACACTTCTGGAGTTGTACATAAAGACTAGTATTACATATATGTTAATTGACTTAAACCTGTTTTAGTTTTTACTTCAGAATGTCAATATCTCTTAGTATATTCAGCCACAACCTTCAATTTGATATCATTATGTTCATTGTGCCTTGATCGGAAGAGACCAAGGTATTTTTAGATATCACCTTCATTCATTGACTCAGCATAACCTCTGGATTCAAGTTCAAAACCTTAAGTCAAAGCCTTAAGTCCTCATACTTTAATAAGTTTACATTTACCAAGTTCAAATGGCATGTTGTTATCACTAGAGAAAGTTTCCATAAGGTGAAAGAACTGTTTAAGGTGTTTTTCTGTACATCATCCATGGACATCAAGTGATTTGTGCAGTGTTTTGGAAACCATACTTAGTTCTGTTTTGTAGAGATAATAATGGCTTTAAGCCTAAGCAGAATCGCAATGGATTGAACTATGGCCATGAAAAACGCCTTAGTTACCGATTGTTCTTGACATCATTGTGTTTTCAGAAGAGAGCGGTTTTCCATTTCAGTAGTGCATGAATAAGCCATGAGTGCCGAACTGAGTCAAAGACTTGGAGGTAATCGGCAAAGGCAGTGTAACCATCATGGCATTTTGGGGGCAGCTTATTCAATAACTACCAAATTGATAAATTGTTCTTCGTCTGCCTGGGATTTTTTGGCATGCTCTTTTTGGTTCCTCAGAGAATAAATTGTTTTCTTGTAAGTGCTTATAAATTATTTTAATGATACATGGTGTAGATGCTGTGCACGAAGTGTAAAAGCATGCATACGGCTTCTGTTTGGAGAGGTCACTGGTGTTCTCATCTTTTGGCAATAGATATGTTCAGACTTTGTGTGTAACTGAGAGGAAGCTGGGAAAGTACTTTGCTAGTAATTGATATACTACTGTGAAGCATCTAGGCAAAAAAATTATCCCTCTTATCCCGCCCTGTCTTATTGTATTTTTTTTTTCAGAGAAGCTGGAGTTCTGGTTACCTTTCTTGATGTGCAGCTGTTCTCTCTCATTATATTGACAGTATCCTCATATTCTGTTGGCCATTTCATCTTTGTTGTATTGTTTATTGTATTATATTTATTTCAACCCTAATGGAGACAACCCAGGATCCTGACCCCAAGAACCTTGGGAATAGAAATGCTTATAGTCCAGTGCCCTCAGCCATCAGTCTGGGAAGCAAACCCTACGGAGACACAGCCTAGCCACTGCTTCTGCGGGTGCTACAATCACAACTACTAAAGACCCAGAAAAGAAAGCTCTTGTCACTAACGTCCTTGGCACTGTCCAGTGGCTCAACATCAGAAACTGATCAGTAGAAGTGACAATAAAGAAGAGGCATTAACATCTGCTTTGCCGCTGCCCCCTAGGGACTGCTGGACTTTTCCATTTCATTTGCAGCTGAAACCTTCCCTGTGTTTTGTGTCCACCATTAGAATCGGAAGTCCTGGAGAGCAGGGACTGTCTGACTTTTGTCTTCATGTTCCCAGAGCTTGTCATAGTGCTCTGCACACAGTAAACACTTGAATAACACTTCATTCCTTCATTCATTCAACCATAGAGATGACCAGAAATTTCCCACATCTTCCTTCTTGGACAGTTCTTTCTCACCTTTGCCTCTCAAGCCTCTGGAGTCAAGTTGTGAAGGATGTTCAATTGCTTATGCTGTTCTTTGTGTTACTTTATCTCTTTCTATTTCTATAAATCACGTGGTCCTTTTTGACTTTTGCTTTCAGTCACTGATTAGGGGAATCTGATTTGTGATAGGAATTTGTGATAGGCTTTTCTTTTCCAGATTCCTTTATTCAATTTCTGCTACATGGACCACCAAGATGTTGATATCTTGTGATAATAATAACAATAACAATAATAATGTATTGTGTGGAATGGTGTGGTATGGTATGGCATATGATATGACATGATATAATCTGAGATATGATGTAATATTTTATTCTATCCTATTATAATTATAGCTAATAGCATTAATAGAGCATTTTAAGATTTACCATGTGCTTTACATATTTTATCTCATATAATCCTCACAACAACTCTGTAGAAGTATGCGTGCTATTTTTATCCCATTTATAGATTAGGAAACTGAACCACAGAGAGGTTAAGTACCCAGGGTCACACAGCTAATAAGTGTCTGAAGCAAGTTTTTTTTTAAACTTAGATCTTTCTGACTCTAAGCTCTGTCCATTGAGCCAATGAGGTGCCTTCTAACATAGGGGTTCTTAACCTTGGATACATGGACTTGCCTCTGTGTGTATATGTGTGTGTATATGTGTGTACACATATCACATGTATTTATATATATAATATGTGTACATATATACACACTTCACACACATATCTGTCTATCTATCTGTCTCTCTCTCTCTCTCTCTCTCTCTCTCTCTCTCTCTCTATCTATCTATCTATCTTATGATTGGTTTCCTTTGTAATCCTATGTATTTTGCTGTATACATTTGAAAATAGTATTCTGAGGCGTCCAGAGGCTTCACCAGGCTACCCAAGGGGTCCATAGCACCAAAAAGGGTTAAGAGCCCTTCTGCTGTTGGGCCCTTCTGTAGTTAGTCAAAAGCTCTCTCAAGGTGCTTTTACCATGGTGGTGTTTGACACCTGTGTTTGGGAAGATTCCGTAATAGCTTTACCTTTCCTCCTATGGTTTTTACTGTGGTAAAGTGTATACTGTTGAATGCAGGTCTTGAAATGTTCTTCCACTTTTGGTCAAATGCCATACAAGAATGCATCCATTAATGATGGGTTTTTGGGGAAGGTTTCAGCTGCAAATGAAATGGAAAAGTCCAGTAGTCTCTAGGGGGCAGCGGCAAAGCAGATGTTAATGCCTCTTCTTTATTGTCACTTCTACTGATCAGTTTCTGATGTTGAGCCACTGGACAGTGCCAAGGACGTTAGTGACAAGAGCTTTCTTTTCTGGGTCTTTAGTAGTTGTGATTGTAGCACCCGCAGAAGCAGTGGCTAGGCTGTGTCTCCGTAGGGTTTGCTTCCCTATGGTTAAGTGACTTGCCCAGGGTCACACAGCAAGTAAGTGTTATGTGTCTGAGGCCGGATTTGAACGTGGGTCCTCCTAACTCCAGGGCTGGTGCTCTATCCACCGTGATGATGGTTTTATATACATATATATATATATAAAGGACTTTTTGGAATTCCAGTATGGGTGTATCCATCTCCTTTTCTAAGTGAAATGAGATAGTCAAAGCTGTTTTTATCATCTCCTTTTGTTATTAAATATGATTTCTGGAGTTGTCACTGAAAACCTTTATTTATAGCCATTGGGTCTTTCAGCTTTTCTTTCTGCAACTAGGCCTGTTGGAGATTTTCTTAGACATTCATCTTGCTTGCTTTTTGGTATATATTAAAATGTCTGTGCCTGTTGATTATTGTTAAGTTCACAGTAAAAAATTAAAACAAAAAGTTTTAATGTTAGAATTTCAGTCACCAGGCAGGAGATGGGAGAAAATGTGGGCAGCAGGAAAGCCTTTCTAGTGCCCTCAAAAATCACACCGCGACGGCGAACATTAAGGTCAGCCCTGGTAGAATGAATGGTCAGGAAACCGTAGAAGAGAGCAGATCACCAGAGCCATCCTGGCCAGGGATGCTTTCCCTTACTCTTCCCTTTTCAATGGCCTTTCTTCCTGCGGCTTTGGATTTTCCAACAGCAGACTGAAGGAGCCTGATCCACCCTATTTTCCTCTCTCCCTTGCACCTCCCCCCAGCTGCAAGCAGGAAGCCTGGAGAGCCCTTGATTATCTCTGACATCAAGAAGGGGAGCGTGGCACACAGGTTAGTGTCCTGGGGCTGTGAGGACAGGAGGAAGGGTGAGCAGCCTCCGTGTGCCTGCTCCCTCCATGTCTTCCCTTCCTTCCCCCTAGGACGGGCACCCTAGAGCCAGGGGACAAACTGCTTGCCATTGACAACATCCGACTGGACAACTGCTCCATGGAGGACGCTGTGCAGATTCTGAGGCAGTGTGAGGACCTGGTGAAACTGAAGATTAGGAAGGATGAAGACAACTCAGGTACGGAGCTGTTCCCCAAGGCACTCCAGCCCCTGGCCCTGATCCCAGGAGCAGATGCACCACCAGATTGGACTGGTGTCTTGGTTTGTCAGCTGGGTTGTGCCTGGGTAGATTTAATGCTCCCCACCCTCCATGATCATGACTCACACATAGACACATGCACACACACATGCACACATCACACACGTGCACATGCACATACACACACACACACACACACACACACACACACACACACACACACACACCAGAAGTGAGGCATTTCCTCCTGCTCTCTGAAGGAAAAATCGCTGTGTTTGAAGCCCAGAGGGGTCTGGGTTTGGTCTCAGCTTGCGTGCCTGTGGTGTCATTTCTGCCTTGCCGCTCCCTCGGTCTGTGGTTGACCATGTGGAGGGCTCTGAGCTTGGAGGGGTTCAAAAGAGCTAAAGCTACAGCATCATTGAATCAGAACAGATAGATTTCCAAATAGATGAAGCATTATATTAAGTGAATACTGTGGGCCAGGCACAGTGTTAAGTGCCAGGGATACAAGTAAAAGCAAGTGAGACAACCACCACCCTTGGTATAGGGCTTATGCTCTAATGGAGGAGGGATGGTATTCAGGGAGTAGCAGGGGGTGGTCATCAGAGTCAGGTGACCCAGGAGCCGAGTCCAAAGTTGCAATGGGGGGAGATGAGGATGATCGCCAGAGTGTGGGCCAACAGGAAAAAACTTGGGGCGTCTATTGATCAATCAACCAGGAAGCATTATTAAGTACCTACTATGTGCCATATACTATACTAGGCACCTAAGATACAAAGACAAAAATTACTCAAAAATTGTGGAAAAATATCTTTTCTTTCTTTTTTCATGAATTGATTCAATTTAACTCAATGAATTAATTAGAACTTTTACTTTCTATTTTTCAACTAAACACAGTACATTCTGGCTATCAGCTGAATTTATCTGGCATCATAGACTTGGAAGGAACCCCATAAGCCATTAAGTTCAACCCCCTCATTTTATAGATAAGGAAGCTGAGACCCAAAAATGTTAAACGACTTTCCCAAGGTCCCACAAGACGTATCATTGATGGGATTTGAACCCAGGTCCTGTGGGTCTAGAGCTATTTTATAGCGGCTGATAAGCCAAAGAAACACTCTACTTCAAAAGCCTTCAGCAGCCAGTGCAGCCACTCTGTCACCCCCAATCCCAGAGCCGAGGTATCTTCCCTTCTCCCACAATGTAGGAGAGTACAGATGCTCTCTTTCAAGATCATCCTTTATTGCATGCCTGCAATTTCTGCTCCCAAAGCTGACTGGCTCCCTTCCCCCACCCTCCCCTCTCCACTCCCTCAATGCCTCCTCCCCATGAGTCCATGTCTCTAGAGCTCAGCCTCCCTCTTCTCATTTCAGATGAACAGGAAACAACAGGAGCCATCATTTACACAGTGGAGTTGAAGAGGTACGGGGGCCCACTGGGTATAACTATCTCAGGGACTGAGGAGCCTTTCGATCCAATTGTCATCTCAGGATTGACCAAGCGAGGACTGGCAGAGAGGTGAGGTCTGGGCCCCACTCAGGCCCAGAGATCTGGGAGAGCAGGTGATTGAGAGAGGATGCCTACAAAGACATCCCTGGGAGGGAGGGGAGGCAGGGGGAGGAGTTGTCCAGGGTGGGGGAAAGGTACTAACAATAATAATAATGAATTCCTAACTATAATTTTAAAATTTTTGCAAATAAAATTTTATTAGTGTTTTTTAAATCATCTATCTTTTCCAATGCCCACCCTCCCCAAGATCAATTCATTATGACAAGGGGAAAAAAAGGCGATGAAAATCATACCAATAGATTGACAAATTCTGACATTACACGTGATGTTCCACACTCCTGCAAGGATACAAGAAGAGGTGCCTTCTCATATCTCCTGCTTGGGCCCAAGCTTGGTCGTTATAATTTTGCCACATGTCTTTTCAATTGACTTGCTATGCTCTTTCCATTCCCATGGCTGCAGTCATTATATCTATTGCTTGTGTGGTGCTACTTCCTTCACTTTGCATCATTATGTCTTCCTGTGCTTTTCTGCATTTAGCATATTCACCATTTCGTACAGCACAGTAATACTCTATTACAGTCATTTACCACAACTTGTTTAAACATCAACAGGCATGCCTGTTATTTCCAGTTCTTTTTGACTACAAAAAGGGCTGCTATAAATATTTTGGCATATTTGTGGATAAAATTTTCTCTTCTGTCACCTCCTTGTGGAAGGAAAGAGGGAAATAAGCAGTTATTAAGCACCTACTATGTGCCAGGCACTGTGCTAGGTGCTTTACAAATATTATCCTATTTGATCCTCACAACAATTCTAGGAAGGTAGGTGCTATTATTAATCCCATTTTATAGTTGAGGAAACTGAGGCAGACAGAGGTTAAATGACTCACTAGGGGCACACAGCTAGTAGATGTCTGAGGCCAGTGTTGACATCAGGTATTCTGACTCCATGCTCAGTACTCCACTCACCATGCCACCTAGCTGCCTAGAGGTATATACCTATCAGTGAAATCTTAGGGTCAAAGGGTATAGGTATTTACTTCACTTTCTTTTACATGCTCCCATTTATTATTAAGACTTTAGAGTTTCTAGAGCACTTTGAATACATTAATTTATTCAATCATTATAAGACCCCTGTGATATAGGTACTATTATTATCAAGCCCATTTTGTGGAAGCAGAAACTGAGGGTCACAGAGATGTAGTGGATTGTCCAGGGTCATACAACTGATAAAAGGGTACAGGAAATGGGAGTAGGGGCTCAGATCAGGTTGGACCAAGTCATCTCCAAAGTCCTTTTCAACTTTAAAATACACATTGAGATATTTTGAATCTAAGATCCCAGATTATAAAAGCTAGGATTTTATAAATTCAGTCTTCTTTCCATGGCACTAAGGGATATGGGCACACCCACCACAAAATGTCCAAATGGCATTCTCTGGCAGCAGATCCCCTCTTGCCTTGGGTGTTAAAAGCCTTAGACTCAAAAGTAGATGGAACACGGGTGTGTTTCCTTTTGTGAGATGAATTGGCTTATTGGAGAGGACCCTGAACTTTGGCAGCTGGGACTGGTTCTTTTGCCAGCTGCAACAGAGACTATTCCATTGGCACATCGTAAGTATCTTAAGCCTATTGATCACCAAATAGTCTGAGATCTCTGCAAAAATGAAGATGTTGGAAAATACAAAATATGGTTACATCCAGCCCCTGATACGCTGTTTTCATGGAAATGGCCATCACCTGAAAAAAAGGGGCCTTCACTTAGTGAGTGAGGGGCAAAAGCAGTGGATGGAAATTTTTCAGTGGATAGATGCTGGGAAAACCAAACTCCCTTTTATTGCAAACTCATCCGTGTTTCCCCAAATAACTGGTATTCGTGAAGGTTCCACCTCAGGATGCTTTCTCTAATCAATGAAGAAATGTTCTAGAGATTCTTGTGAATAGACAAATTCTCCACTATTTTCTTCCCTAAAGAAATACTTTGGGTGGTTATGTTCTCTTCAAAATTCTGTGAGTTTTGCTGATTTCGTTGTTGGGGCATGGGAGAAAGAAAATGCTATCAGTTAAATGTTAATGGCTTTTAATACCCCAAATAAATAAATCTTGGGTCCAAATCTCTATTTCTAATACTTACTATTTGTAGGAACTTGGACAAATTTGCTAACCCTCTCTGGACCTCAGTTTCTTCCATTTATAGAATGAAGAATCTCATTTAATGATCTTTAGGTCTTTTCTAATAGCTAGCATTTATATGATGTTTTAGTCCATTAGTAAAAAAATATTTTAGCAAATCAGTCAGTCAATAAATATTTAAGTGCCTACTATGAGCCAGACAGTATTCTAAGGACTGGAAATGCAAAGGCATGCAAAGGCAGATGACTGTGTACCAACTAGCTATTTACAAAATAAATTAGATACCACTTTTAGGGCTGTATCCCAAAGAGATACAATACAAATGGGAAAAGGACCCACATATACAAAAATATTTATAGCAGCTCCTTCTGTGGTGGTAAAGAATTGGAAATTGAGGGGATGCCCATCAATTGGGGAATGGCTGGACAAGTTGTGGTATATGAATGTGATTGAATACTATTATGTTATAAGAAATGTTGAGCAGGCAGACTTCAGAAAAACCTGGAAACACTTGTATGGACTGATGCTGAGTGAAGTGAGCAGAACCATGAGAACACTGTATACAGTACCAGCCATGTTGTGTGATAACTAACTTTGATAGACTTAGCTCTTCTCAGCAATGCAAGGATCTAAGACATTTCCGAAAGTCTCATGATGGAAAATGCCATCCACATCCAGAGAAAGAACTATGGAGTTGGAATGGAGATCAAAGCATACTATTTGCTCTTTATTTTTTCTCTTCTGTTTTGTTTTATTTCTTCTTTCTTGTGGTTCCTCCTATTGGTTCTAATTCTTCTTTACAACATGAATAATGTGAAAATATGTTTAATAGGAACATATATATATAGAGAGAGCCTATATCAGATTGCATGCCATCTTGGGGAGGGAAGGAGGGGGAGAAAATTTAAAACTCAAAAGCTTATGAAAGTGAATGTTGAAAACTAAAAATAAATTAATTTAAAAAACCTCACAACCAAAAAATAAACCCCAAAAACAAAATAAATTAGAAATACTCACCAGTGAGAAGGCACTAGAATTAAGGAGGGTGGGGAAGGCTTCTTGTAGAAAGGTGAAATTTTAGCTGGGACTTGAAGGAAGCCAGAGAAGCCAAAAGATGGAGATGAGGAGAGAGGACATTGCAGGCGTGGGGGACATCCAATAAAAATGCCTGACTAAGAAGTGTCTGAGGTGAGATTTGACCTTGTCTTTGAGTCATGCTGATTCCAAGCCTCTGCTCTTCCTTGGACCATCTATCTGCCCCCAAGCCTATTCATCTTTCTTTTAGCAAAGAGTCTGGAATAGATGCCCTTTATGAGTCTATGACTTGGTTATGGTCTATAAATTTCTAAACTTCCATCAAATCTGATCCTTAGAATAATGTACTTCTAGACTTCTGTTTTCTTCAGAAGGAATCAACAACCTAGAAAGGGCATTGACTGAAGGAGGGAAGAGAGAAGCATCTATTCTAACCTTCTCTTTTCTTGTCTCCTCTGAGCAGCGAGCAGGGCTCACCCAGAAGTTCACTGGGAGGTGGGTGGTTCTCTGATAATCAGAAGGAGCTTTCCATGGAATCGTGGAGAGGACCTCAGAGGTGGTCTAGTCCTGGGGTGGGGAACTTCCATTCTTGAGGCCACATGTGGCCCTCTAGGTCCTCAAGTGCAGCCCTTTGACTGAATCCAAACTTCAGAGAACAAATCCTCTTAATAAAAGGATTTGTTCTGTAAAACTTGGACTCAATCAAAAGGCTGCACCCTTTTGAGGTCTAAGGTCTAAGAAGGTCTAAGATGAAGCCTCCTTTTGGTTCATGGGGAGAAAGCTGGACCACCAGGGAGAAGGAGCATTGTTTCTTATTTCTGCCAGACATGTTCCTTCTCTCTTTGTAACCAGGGTTTTGTTCTGATCTGGGTTCAGGAGGCCTCAGTTCATTGCTGGCCCCTCTCATTGCTCCCTTTCTTTTTGCTGAGAGAGGACTTTGGATTCCTTATTGAGGATGTATGGTGCAAGTCTTGGATCCTGAAGGGGAGAAGCAAGGGGCAGTGAGGGTGAGGAAGGAGGGCCATCTGAGAGCAGATCTTTGGAGCACAGTCCACATGGAGGGATGGCAGGAAAGGGAATGAAAGGCCAGGCGAGGCGAGTGACTCATGCCTATGTATCCGACCAGAGAGGTCAGGGGTCCTGGTTGACATGGTATCTCCATGGGGGCTCTATCAGCATTTTGGTATCTCTCATAGGCTTGGTAGATATAAATATCTAAATCCCTAGGTGTTTCTGGACTGGAAAAGAGAAAACTAGGAAAGAAGCCTGCACCAGGCTCTCTCACTTCCCCTGCCCCGGTCTTTCTCATTTTGGGGGGAGGGGATGCTCCAGACTTGCGATTTCCTCTTTGAAGGGGTCCTCCAAATGTGGAAATTTCTTCCACCAATGCAAATCCTCAGCTCTTCTGTAATTCAAACCCTTGGAGAGCTGCTGAGGCTTAGAGATTAAGTGGCTTGCACATGTCTACCCTGCAAGGATGCATCAGACCCAGGTCTTCCTGACACCAACCCTGACCCCTCTGCCTCCCCGGAGCTTTCCCTAAATCCTCCCTAGAGGATGCACCACCAATGCTGAAGGCCTTTCTCTGACTTTTCAGATAAAGGAGAAGCACTCAGGATGCCCGGCCATTCTCTCTCAGCCTTGGACACATGACCAGTCCAATTTCTTTTGCCCCATTCATGGTTCCATATATGCCGTTTCTTACAAGTCACCCCCGGTAATATGCAGCAGCTGATTTAGGCACCCTATGCCTCTTTCTATTGCCCTTAGGTTCGTCTGTGAACCTTGGGAAGTCTTAGAGGTCACATGGTTCCATGAGTCACAGTTAGTCAACAAATAT